CTCCATAGAAATCTATATAAACACAAAATGGGTATAATGAATGTTCACAGCAACTATTTTAAAGGGACATTATCTTAGGATTTCTAGATCTGAGATGAGTGTTGTGTTATTGTTGTAAAATTATTGTGTTCAATATTTGAAAAAGACTGCAGGAGCCTAAAGAAATCTTTGTTGAAAGATTATATTGTCAAAGTTAATCATTTGTGTTTAAACTGTGTTTTAAGTTAAGATGATATATTACTTTGCTTATAGCCTATGAATCAAAATGTTAAGCGAAAAATGTGTAATAATTTTACTCTCACTTTATTAAAAAATAAATAGCTAGGCCTATCTTTTAAATGCAACACTTCAATTATGTTTTATAGCCTATGTTTAATATTAAAATCAGGAGACTTGCAGATACTGTTTTCTTAAGATATTTAAGGTTTTATTAAAGATTACTTTGTTAATTGGACTATAAAAAATACTGTGTTTAAAGCATCATTTTAGAATACCATAGGCTATTATTTCAGGATTCATCATCAACCGAACAGAGTTATGAATTTGACTTAAAGGTCTATCTAAGGTATATTGATGTGTGTATTGAAGCCTTCGTTTTTTCATAAAGGGGGTTATTTGCACTCAGATTTATTCTAGATAGCCGATGGGTTTTACACAAAATGAAGTAAGCTATGTTTTGATTGCTAATTGGCTAATTTGTGAATAACTCTGTTCGCCTCCAACACAGCTTGAATGTTTTAAACAAATGATTTATATTAGAGGCCTTTTCATATTTGATAATTTGATATAGGAACAGACCGGATAGGCTACAGTCCAGTTTTAGCTAGTCATTAAGATTAAGATTAAGATTTACTTTATTGTAAATTCAGTTTTTACACTCTGTAAATCATGCAACACACACATAGGCTGAAATACACACATGCACAAACAGGATCCTATGGACATGCACTAATGGAGAGATGTCAGCGCTCCTGAGCTGATGGTGGTGGGGAGTTTTTTTTTTGCCTTGCTCAAGGGCACCTCAGCAGTGCTCAGGAGGTGATCTGGCACCTCTCCAAGCTACCACACCAACTTCCAGATTTGATCAACTTGGGACTTGAACCGGTGACCCTCCGGATCCCAACCCAAGTCCCTTACAGACTGAGCTACTGCATCATTAACACCAGAGCTCGTCAAACAGTTCAATTCTTACGTTTTCATTTCGGAACTTGGTTCTTTGGATCTTGTGTGTTTCAGGGAGTCTTTAATTTTTATCAAGGTGATAAAAGTCCTCAGCTGAAGCGTGCATTTAGCAAAGTACGTAACTTAAAACTTGTTGGATACTTTTCTGTGTCACTTTCACTCCAGAGATTAATCCAAATTAACCTAGAGTGTAGCACAGAAAACCAATAACATTGTTTGAACAACTTAATAACTATTCATTCTCATTCGACTTAAATATTTGTCCATCTACCTAAGAAGTATTCTTTGTCAAATACGTCTCTTCATAGAAATCCAAAGACAGTAAACATCTGAAAGTCCCAAAAGGATAATGTTGAGGAGACAGCAACAGTGGGGATTTTCTGTTGATCCTGGTGAGCTCAGCTTCCCGTTCATCAGGAGTCCTGTGGTTGTGTTCACATGGCCAGTCACTGTCACTGCTGATTTAAGCACCACCCACCTACAGTTAAGTCATATTTCTCAACAGCCACTATGCGGTCGCCTTAAAGGAGCAGGACGTATGTTATGTTTAGTGTCCAGTGAGGTTTGTTGGTTTGGAGATTTAAGGAAGGATAGAATAAATCATTGTGTTTTTAATATTGTTCTTTATGTAAGACACTTTGTCCTTGCTGCAGCAAAGTTTTTGTAGAGCATGACTGTCACCATTTTTCTCATCCAGCCTGCAACTCATGGGATTGTGATTTTCACAACTCTAACTCTTATATTGTTGTCCTCTGACAAAATCCTGCTCAAACAAAAAGTGTAATAAAGGACAGACACGATTACAAGACACTTTCATAAGGATGACTTTTCATAATTCCAATAACTTTTCATGTATTACCCAATATGTTTTGGAAATAACTGTAATAAACAAAACAAACTCAAACTTTCATAGTACAATAAAGAGTGGACTGTTCATGAGTCACATCCTACAGGTCATGACCAATAGCAGATGTGCTGTATGCAAAAACAAAAACACCTTAACTCAAATTCTATGAAGTGTAGGAAGTTGTGACCAAGTGTGTCATGACAATCCCCACAGGCCAGGATTCACATAGTATGAAAACAAAACATTGAAATTTGAAATGGGTGATACATCATTAAAAGCACAAACATCATGTGTAAAATACACTAAGACAACATGAGGATGTTTTTTCACTCAGTCCACGCCATGTTTTTTGCAGCTCATATCAAACAAGCTTTGAGAACCATCAGACCATCATCCAGCCAGGGATGCTTAATTTTGTATTCCCGAATTTCCACTCTGGGGATCAATAAAGTATTATCCTTAATCAGGCTCAATGGTGGGAAGCTAGAGGAAATGTTATTTTTCTTTATACAGGGGACAACTGCATGTACCAAAACATTTCTATGCAATAACATTTGAATATAATACATGTTTGAAATAAAGAATTTCACTGATTTGTGATGATTCCTCTGAACTGTTGATTTGTTTCTATGCTTTCATTCTGTGCAGTAATGATTTAAATAGATGTGTTCAGAGTTCTACAAAGTGATCGAGATGACTCTGTGTAACTTCTTGTTGAAAAGAAGCTCCTGATAACATGTTTTTTTAGGAGTAGTTTAACCACTACACATTTTTGTAACACTTTAAACTTTTTTTTTTTTTACATTTAGAAAATCTTCCACCAGCCAAACATCCCTCGAGGGAAATCAATTCACCAAATACCAATACTCCTTAAGATGTGTGAGTGCTTTATTGAATTCAAAACAAACCAGTTAGGTTTAGAAAGAATGATGACATACATGCTTTGTGTAGTTCGGTTGACGTCCAATCACAGGGGATCCAGGATCAAGTCCAGATCTATGAAATAGAAGAAAACAAGAAATACATATTTCTTAGCCATTTGTATTCAACAATAAGTTAATATAAAATAATTTATACTAATGGACTATTAATTTACAGAATCCAGAAAAAAATGATCTGCAATTTCTATTGTTTTTGAGGGACAGCACAGTGGATAGAAATCAGGGAGAGAGAAAGATGTGGGAATGACATGCGGGAGAGGAGCCACAGGCAGGATATGAACCTGTGCCGTGTGGTTCCAGGATAACAGCCTCTGTACATTGGGCTCGCAAACAAATAACTCAGGCCTTATATTTTGCACTGACGATTGGAGCAATCACATGTCCAGAGAGAAGTTAGGTATTAGAAAAATCATCAGCATACTACTCCTGCAGGTCAGAGGTCATTGCTTTATCTTTACCATCAAGCAAATCATGGATGTGCTGAATTTGCTGTCCTTGTATTCCATCCTGTTTTACTGTTTTGACCACCACAAGGGAACTGCAGGAGCTCTGGCTGTGATGGAGTAAGATGAGAAAAAAAATGTGATTGATTAAATTTACTTTTACATGAATACACAAGTTTGTCTTTATAATTAAACTTACAGTGAGAGCTAAATCAGGAGCTAGTACTGGTCCGCTGCTCATGAGGTCGAGTAAGATCAGTCATATCACATAAATAACAGGCTTTGCTGGTTTAAAGCATTCTGCGTTACTTTTTTCTTTACAAAGTAGTAGCTCATTCTTCCTGTATGTATCACTTACACAGTGAATGGCAGCAGCATGGTGGTGGAGTAAGAAAACAATGTTAGAATGATGAACAAGCACCAGATTAAAATACAATAATATTATAGGGTGAAAGTTGAAAAGAAGTATTTCACTAGTGATGAAATCCACTCAAACACGATTAGCATTTGGAGCACTTCATTTTTTATTTCAGTCAGAAACTCATACTCATCTTTTTTCAACCACAGTGAGTGACAATCAGCAGCTCTGACTTTGGTCTGCAGGGTCTCTTCCACGGGGGTCCAGCCGGTGAGTTTAGCTGTGTAGGCCTATAGCTTTTCAGTCAGGTGGTCTTCTTCTCTTCAGGGGTTTGAGATTTTGTCTTGCAGACAAAGTTCTAGATAAGGATTTCCAATTTCTTCACTGAGAGGTTTTTGAAATCTTGAAACTTGGGTCAAGTTCGAGAGCAAATGAGAAATTTGGAAAGGCCTGAGGCTCTCATTCTGTTGCCGTAATTATTACTGAAGCAGGTGTGTGAGAGATCGGTTAAGATTTGTTGTCTAATACTTGACCATTTTCTTTGGCTGTCATTTTGTACTTTATTTTAACACCATTCTTAATGAGAAATAGAAGTTTTGACTTCTCAAAACATCTTCAAGACAGAATATTAATAACACAGAATACTTAAATAAAGTAGGACGCAGTAACCCCGTGTTTGTAAGATTATGTTTTCCCAGACTTATTTGCTCAATATGTGTTTCTTTTCCTTTTGTTATGTATTTTAGAGTAACTTGAAGATGTTGCTCTTATGATAAGTTTTTCTTCACCATCCTTAATTTCTGTGAAGGTTCTGAATCTTTTCTCAACATCTGATAACAGCTACAACTGGTCATTAAAGGAGGAGATGTAGGCTATGTGGATGTATAAAGTCACAGAGAAGGAAATGGTAAATGGACTTGAGCTTGTATTGTGCTTTTCTAGTCTTTTAAACCACAGGTCATAGTCTCTCAAGTGGAACGATTGAGGGTTCCATCCCCAGCTCCTGCAGCAACATGTCCAATGTGTCCTTAGGCAAGACACTTTCCTGCGGCGTATGAATGTATATGAATGGGATTAGTTACTTCTGATGATCTCGCTACATAGCAACCTCTGCCATCAGCGTGTGTATGGGTAGGTGTGACATGCGGTGTAAAAGCCCTTGGAGTAGTCAGAAGACTAGAAAAGAGCTATACAACTCAAGCCCATTTCCCATTTTTACCATTTGGGCTTTAAAATAAAGACACAGTCACCACAGGTGTTTTTTCTTGTTTAAGGAAAAATGTGTGTATTTGTGTTTAGTAGTCCAATGCACAGATGAGGGCCACTCCCCGTTTGATCCAATGTCCCTGACTCTGATCTGTAGGCAGCTCCACTGCAATCACATAGTTGGTTGAATGACCGGTTGTAGACAGAGTCCCTACAAAGCAAACAAAGCCATTTAGTGAGAAAATTCAGATAGTAAGTTATTTTTCCATTACTGCACTGAGTTCTCTGCCGGTCCAATGTGCCAACATGAAGGTGTTAGCTTCATGCAGTGGGTGGAAAAAACAGAGCTGCACCTTTAGACGCTTCATGAAACAGGACACTAACTGGAGTCTATTTTTGGAGAGTAATAAAACCACCAAGAGGAGATACACACAAACACAAGAGCAAGAAGCCTGAGACTAAGTCATGCTAAAGAAAGTGTTAATGATGCAGCAAAAGTTTTAGTTGCCTATTTCCCTACCAAAAAGGAAAATACATTGAATACATTTTTAAATCGGACATTGCGCAGACTAACCAGCACGTGTGAGGGTCTTATAGATGGGGCACACGTAGACCCCAGTGGGTGGAGGTTTGCGGTTAGGTTCCGGGATGAGCCGGATGACCGACATTTCTGTGTAGAGCTCCTTGGGCCTGGAATCCGTGAGTTGACATTCCTGCTTATCCCAGCGAGCACCCTCCAGGAATAGACCGTGGATATAGCAGCCTGAGCTTGGTTTCTCTGTTATCTCTGACACTGGCTTCTCTACAACCTGAGGTAGCAAAGAAACAAAAAGACAAGGGAAAACAAGAAAAGTCAGTGTAAATCATAAAAATTACATTTTTAAATACACAAAACCTGGCAGTTTCCTTTACAGTATTTGATATACTCAGTCAGAGTGGTAAATATGTGTGTGCAGAGTTAATACACCTACTACAGAAAGTGAGCAGTTTTTTTGTCAATGAGACAGAAACAGTAGAAATGACAGACTTCAGACGTCTGATAAACAGCTTACGTCTCACCTCAAAGTCAAATCCAATAGTGTCGATGGAGAAGCCCGAGCGACGGGCATAATTCTGGAGGGTTCCGGTGAGAAAAGCCTGGGGGAAAAAGAAGCCACTAATCCAGAAGACAGGTGGAATGCCATTATAGATCCATCTGTGCAGGAAATTGATCCTCTGGAGCAGATCTGACACCCAGGAGGCCAAAGGCTTCAGAGACGGGTAGGCCTAGGGTGAGAGAGACACACCACCAGAGGTATTTATTGTGAGAAAGAAGATCCTGCATTGGAAACAGAATTAAAGAACTTTTATCAAAATGTTTATTATAAAGCTTCTTAAGGTAGAATATCTGAGTAATATCTCCAACATGATACAAATAAACAAAGATGGAGATCATATTTAAGTTTCAGTTCCAGACAAGCAGCTGTACTTTGTCATTTTGTGTTTTTATTTCTTTTTAAATAAAACAAATTAAAAAAAAGTTGTACGATTTCAAATTCTGAAGTGTGTTTGTTAAACAGTGATTATAAGCCCACTGGTATCACCAAGAGCATCGTAAAAGTGGTGTGCGCCTTGCCTTAGCTTTCCACATATCAGGCACCAGGTTGTTAAACAGACTGTTGGCCATAAGCTCCAGTTCTGATGACATCACCACTAAACCATTCAGAGCCTTCACAATATCACCCAGACTCTGCAAGATGACCTCCAGCAACTTGTTATATCTGAAAGAAAAAAAAGATACAAGCACCACTTTAGTACTGACATTTTCATGATTTATGTTATTCATGTTTTCATGAATGAGAGAGGGATTTATAATGAGTGATGAACCTCAGAGCTCCATATTACACAGTATCAATAGTATGTTAGCTTTGTGAGGAGGCGTGCATGTATAAAACATCAGTGTAGTCTAGCACAGACATTTCATTTCAAACCTTGATTGAAGCCTTGAAAATTATTGAGGTTTTCCCTCATTTGCAATGATGTCGAGACAGAAAGAAACAATCACACACTGTGGTAAAGTGGATTGAGATCATTGTCTTAATTTGTCCAAGAGAAACAAGAGAGTAGGATGTAAATTATTCCACATTTTTGGAGCAAAATAGCTAAAAGCGGATTTTCCAAGTTCAGAGTTAACCCACAGGACTTGAAGCAATAGACAGTGCAGCAAACAACCTCTTCTTAGATTGAAAAGAGGGGCAAATTTTGATTCTAAAGTAGAATCCCGGTTTCAGCTTTAACCTGTTTACCAGCTGCTGAATGTGAGGAGTAAAAGAAAGAGACTCATTAATTAAAATACCAAGATATCTGTCGCTCCACACAGACTCAATTTGTGTACCATGAGAGGTGGAGATCGAAGGGAGGTTAGATGGTTTAGATTTTTTAGAAAACATCATGACTTTGGTTTTGTCTGCATTTAAAACAATCATACTATTTTAAATCATTGAAAATGTGTTGAACAGTGTTAAAAGAAAGTTATAAAAGCTTGGTCTTAAGTGGGTGCAGAGCATCAATGTGTGTTTTATGTTGTTATCTAATAGTACAGCCTGTTGTGTTACCTGATGACCTCCTGCATGAGCACTGTGTTCATGGACTCTTCATAGAGGACCGGGTACTTTTCCATCACCTCCTGAACACTGAAAGGCTGGGGGATCTTTACAACGATGTCTGCCACTATCTCCTCCACTATCTAGAGAACAAAAGAGGACGATCATCCATGAAGCACAACATGTCAGTTTAATTATGCAAGTTGTACTAAAACTCCTTCATCAATGTATTTTTGTACCTCCTCATGAGATTTTCCCCCAGCAGAGGCCGTTCTAGGCTGGAGACGAACCACGGTTCCCAGCAGGGCAAAAGTCTCATTCTGGGCAAAACTGATGTTAGCGTTGTCATGGAGACCAAAGATCTCCGGTGAATCGTTGATGGGCAAACCACGGATGTATGACAAGTAACCCTAGGGTAAGATTTCCCATGTGAGGTCACATACTGATAGTAACTGCTGATAGTAATTGTCATCAATTTGTTTGAGGTTCAGCAGTACAGACGTTTTGTGCTTGAATACTTCACATACTACAGCATGTGATTTTCAGTCAAAGTGATCTATCCTTACCAGTGAGCCAATCAGGGGTGCAACAAACTGATGCTAGACAAAGGAGAAGTCAAATGCATGTCTTGTATTACAATCTTTTGAGGTCTTAGGCCTTTATCTGACCTTGATATCCAGATTTGTGTCAATCTGCCTGTAGACTCCAGATGAAGAGTAGTTGTGTTCTTCAACAAGCACATTGGGAGAGTAGAAATCCTCCAACACACTGAGCAAACATCGTCTGTCCCAGTCATCTGTCACACGGCCGCCATAGTTGATCTCTCCAGCAGTGTATCTTAGTACCTGGACAGGCAGTAGACAAAAAAGAGAAGACAGACATATAAACAAGCAGTAACACACATTCTCTGGTTAAAACAAAAACTTCTGAAACTTACAAAGGACTGTGTTTCTGTAAGCTCACACATCAGTTCTCCACAGTGATCAGAAGAAAAAAGTACATTAGCAATTAAAGCTACAGTGGGAAACATTATTCCACATTTTGATCTTTGCACATTGTTAACAATATTAAATCAAAAGTTTCCTTTAAATAAATGCTGATCTGATCTGAGTCTGTGAGCTCCTGCCCCTTTGTATTATTGCTTTTTAAATAAACTGATCGGAACAACAGAAAACGTTCAGGATTAGCTTGCACAACACTAGCCAGTCACAGTCCCCGAGCAAAAACTGCATCATCAAGCTTCCATGTGTGACATAACTAGCAGAGTGGATAAGACAGTTTTGTTGTGACAGTGACTGGAGTGCAATTTAGGTTGTACATTTGGTGGGAGTTGCTTAGTCAGTTAATATGAAGTAGCAGAGGGTGAGCCAGAAGGTTATTTTCATTGGAATGTTCATGATGCCTACTGCCAGAACAGCAATGGATATGTCGTGAAAATTAAGAATTACTGGGACAGGATTAAAGTGAAGACGATAAAACAGAAAGAGGGACAAAAAAAAAAAGACAAAGAAAATATAAACACTATTTAAAACGTGTGGCTTTAGATTTGTTATTGATTGGTTCTAATGAAATATAAACTTTCCCCCACCTTGAATGGGGTGTCCTGGTACTCGTCCAGGAACATTTTGAGTTGGCTGATGCAGATATTCAGGTCTCCATCTGTGAACTCGTAGGGAATGTTAAAGCCTAATGGACCAAACTTCCTTCTCTCAAGAGAAATTCCATGGAAGAGACACAGAGAAAGGAGCAAAGACTTCAAGTGTGTCACCTGAAAAGAACAGAGAGGAATACAGAAGACATAATTGGACATAGTTTTCATAGCAGGGCGTGTAATAAAAAGTCAATTTAAAAAGTAGGACTGTGAGTCAGGACTTTGGTTGAAGAGGTGATAAAGTCATTGGTGAGTCTCAGGTAGGTTTTCTGCAGATTGGCCTTGATTCCCCTTGGAGGCTCGATGGTCATCTTTGATCCATTTTGGAGAATGGAGACGGGGAACTTGTTGCTGGGGAGACTTGTGAGCCACAGGCGGAAGTCCTTGTGCACCTGTTTAATAGTTTAAGATAAATGTGGTGCCCATCAGTAAAGTCAATAAAGGTTTGTCTAACATACTGTATTACCTGGGTGTGCATTATACATATGCAGATGTTCTGACCTTTGTTGGGTCGATGTTCTCGATGAGTCTCTCCAGGGAGGGCATCCAGCTGGGAGCCAGGTGACAGTTCTGGAAGAAGACCCAATGACCTTGTTTCATTGCAGCGTGCATCATGATCTCAGCCCAGGGGCCCTAAGTCACACAAGCAGCAGAAGAAGAAAGAAGGTAGACGTGAAGACAACAACAAGAGCTGTGCTAAAAACTACAAAGTAAGGCGTAAGCCTCTAATATGATAAGTAAAATCCAAGTTCCTTAAAGTGTGATCCTTATTTAAGGAGCAGGCAGCATAGATTCAGCTCATCTAACGATAACCAGTTTGATCTTCTAAGAAACTTTCAGGAAGTTGGTGTGCTTAGTTTGATGCAGACAGAAATTTTGGACAGGGTATTGCAAGTGCCAAGCGTGAAACAGCAATTTGGGCTCAAATAATTGGAAGACATGTAACAAACACAATGACATGTATTAAACAGTCACAGGGACAGCGTGTTGCTGTGAAAATGTTTGGCTGGTTCCTACGCTTCAGGTTTGGCAGGTGAGTCAGCAATTATCAGAAAAACTGCACAAGTTGTAGTGGGGTGATGAAATCTACCATGTGTAAGAAGAACATTACAGTGTCCCTGGCTATTGTCACAAATAGGGGAAACAATTAGCACCAGTGTGGCCATTCTTAACAAGACAAAGGAGAATGGCCTGGTTCTGTGAGAAAGTGATTTCCTCCAGGGTCAGACAGAGAAGAGTGTCAGAGAAAGAGAAAGAAATCCAAGGCATCCCCCCTGGCACTGACCTGGCCCTGACCCAGAGAGATGGCACTCATTTTCTTTGAGAACTGCATGACGTCGGCAAACTTGTAAAGATCAGCTGCAGGATCAGTGCCAGGGGACAACACAAAGATGAGGGGAGTGGAGAGGGAGGAATCCTTGAAGACCACAGCCAGGTCTGAAGTCTGTTGGAGAGAGACGGGAAAATATAAAGTTACAAGCCATAAAGCCAGCTATCATTTTTAGACCAGCCAGGTTTGCAAAGTAAATTCTTTACTTATTAAACAAAGTTTACACCACAGCAAACTCTTACAAAATTGAACTTTACAACACTTCTGGGTGTTCAATGTCAAATGTATGAAATTAGATGTGTGTTTCAGCAAACATTGGAAATATTTTTTTTACATAAAAGTAAGGAAGGCAGGAAGAGTAAGGACAGGTGTTCTACCTGAGGTTCTATGAAGCGTTGTCCCAGCTGAGCTGATACATAGTCCTGCAGGCCTTGAACGAGACAGTCAGCCCTCAGACAGCGGAGGACCAACAGCCTCTGGAATGAGTCCAGCTCTGTGTCCCACTCGCCTGGCAGGGGCTCCCTTTGTCAAAAACAAAGTTACATGCACACCATGTTAGAGACAGTATGACAGCTTCTGCACAGAACAAATGAGGGTAACAAGCGAGCACCTGTGAGGGTGGTTGCTATCAAAAATTCTCTTGAAACCCTGAAGATGTTCGGGGAAGCTCTCTGCCAGGTTGCTGAAGTTGTCCAGAGCACTGAGGCCAAGAATGTCCCGCCAGGCTCGATCTGACAGCCAACTCACTGCAGGGTTAGTCAGCTCTTGCATCGGCATCCCTCCTGATAGCAGGTAGCGCCACTCAGCCTGCCACAGGGAGACGAACCACACTCATCAAATTTCCTTACAATAAACTGACTAATGTGTTGCATGGGTTCTTACAGGAAATGAAGGAGAGGAGTGAGAGACAGCAAATTATTCTGTGACTCACCATATTAATTTTGTTATCATTCATCATGATGCGAGTGCAAAGGAGGAAAGCAAACATAAGTTTGTGCTTCTCAAACAAGCTGCGGCACACGTTGCTGTACAGGCTGAAGGTGAAAAATTCATTGATGTTTTCGATTCTCTTCTCCACCGTGTCTGTGAAAGACATGTTGAGACAAAGTCAGTTTTAGCTGGTGAGACCACTTCTGTTTTTTTTACCTGCAAATTCTTGTTTCAGAATGATTCATTACTTCTCCAAGTAAAGTGTACTATAATAATATCTCACTACCTGCTCTTTCAGAGTTTGCAATGCCAGCCATGAAGATCCGAAGGAACCACTCCAGCGAGTACTGGTACATTGGGTCTACATTGGACAGGTCAGATACACAGAAGAAGAGGATCTGTGTGCGCACAGCCACTGGCACATACTCCAAACGTGTGGCATCAATGTCCTTCTCTGTCTGCTCTGCTGCTATCACTTTAGCCTGCCCAAATAATCGTGTAAAAAAAAATACAAGAAAAGTGGATTATTTATTTGATGGCAAAGGTATCATACATGAGGTTGTTTTGGGATAGCACTGAAATTAAAACAAAAGGTTTGAACGACGAACTGACCTTGATCTCTCCTGCTTTAATCTTGGAAGCCTCCAAGACTTGGATGAGCTCTTCATTGTCCACAGGGTTTCCTTCTGTGGAGCTCAGACGGAACAGAATCTCATCCTCAATTTCTTTTAGCTCCTGTTTCATCTGAGCATTGCTGACAATCAGCTGGTTCTTAGCCTCCTCAAGGTCTGGACGTTCCTCAGCCACAACCTGACCCAGCAGCTGGTCCTCTAGACCACTGTAAATATACAAAAAAACTTAAACTTGGATCTGAAAAAACAAGGGTTTTCTGTCCCGAAAACAGTCACAACCATTGTTCTTGATCTACCAAATCTTTTATCAAGCATTAATACATAAGCACAAATTTAGGCAGCTTGTTTAAATAGCATCATCATAAATACATACATGTGGCACAGACAGAAGTACCTACCAAAATAAGATCAATATTATGAAGAAATACATTTAGCTTTTGTCTGAAAATGCATACCTGGGTGATAGAGTGAAGTTTATAAGGGTGACGTTGGTGGAAACTTCTGGAGTGTAGTGTGGGTTAGGTAGCTTGGTGGTAATGTACATCTTGAAGTCTTCATGGTAAGGGATGACTGAGTCGCCCAGCTTCAGCACTGTATTGCCCTGCTGCTTAAATGTCTACAGGCCCAAAATGGGCATAACAGATCAGTATATGGTAGATATTTGCATAATGCTAACATACAATACGGGTAATGATTATTTGGAACATATGTGTGTGTATTTACCTGTTGTAACAAGACAGGTTCTAGGGCTGGATCCAACTCCTCTCCTACATTCTCCAGGAGGCAGGGTTTCCCAAAGCTGATGGCATTCTCCAGACTGCGTAGGAAGTCCTGGTCACTAAGCTTCATAGCCTCCAATCCATTGTCTCGCTCCTGCATCATGAAAGGAAGCAAGAATGAATGAACAGAGCATAAAATAAAACTTCAGATATAAAGAGGCTTTCCATAGCAGTTGTGGATGATGTGAGTAAGAGACAAAAAAACAACAATACACAACCAAAGCAGGCACCCGTGTTTGTACTGAACCTTCTTTATCATATTTAGCATCTACATAGTCTGCTTTTTCATTTGTTGATAGTGGTGAATAAGGTTCACATGTGGTGGGAAGGGATGAATTAAAATCTTGATGTGGTGTCTTTGATGAGTTTTTTTGTCTCACTGGCACCCTCTGTAGTCTCGGTATGATCAACAGAAAAGTGTTCTCACCATAGTTTTGATCCATGTGTTTGCTTGTCCCTGAGGATCAATGAAGAGTGCCCAGCGCAGAGAATACTGCGTAATCACACCATTCTCCACTGAATGGTTGTCTTTTGGCAATCCTGATATCTATGCACATAGAAATGACAGTGTTCAAAAGCGTGATAAAAGAAAATAGCCTAGTTAATTAGGGTCTAAAAGCACATACCAGTCAGCCTGATGGTCTGACTATTCTTATTCTCATGTAACAGTTAAGATCGGTCTTAAGAAGTGTAGACCCTGAAAGTCAGATCACGAAAGCTTGTTTCTAACCTGCCAGGAACGGATCTTGACTGGATCTCCAAGAGTGCTGATCAGGTTTGGTTCTTCAGTGTGCGGGACACTTAGCTCTTTGAAACAAATAAGCCACTCCTCTGCCATGGCTGCCCTGTACTCGCCCTAAACACACACAAATGAACCTTTATGAAATCATGCAATAATGCTGAACTGTTGAGCACAAACACATGTACTGCAAGTCAAGGGCCACACAGAGACAGTCACACACAAGGCCTTTCCAACAAAAATCTACACTTGTACTTTTGTCTCCAACAGTATCAAACAGTAAGGTTCAGATTTCTGGTTTAATCAAGTTTTAGTTTGAGTTATATCAACAGGCAGAAAGGAACTTATCAAAACTTACTTTTGACTAGTCAACAATCACTGAATTAAATGAATCATATTCAGTCATTTATGATACGATACATGCAACTATAAAGTAAATGCAACTTTCAACTTTCTAATCACTGAGGTACAACCAACTTACAGTGAAGGGTCCCAGGTATGCTATATATCCTGCAGACAGCAGCACGTCACCTGCCAAATTATTAACCATGTAATCCAGATGTTGTACTGTTTCCTTCCAACGCACCTTCTCATCTGCAAGACCACCTATAAGCTGGAGAAAAAATAAACATGAAGAAAAATGAAAAAACATATTCAGTAATATATTTCCTAAAACACATTGGCACTGTACTCTTGATTGCACTGATTATCCACATAAAATAGTCTACATATATTCCTACATTTAATGTATCTTATGGCACTTCATTATTGGTTTTCCCTGAAATGTTATTTTTCATTTATTTTCTACCTATGTGTACTCTGTTCACCATCACTCTGTTTCTTGTGCCACAAAAATGCTTACATTTCTTCCTTTAAATTAAGAGAGTTTTATCTTATCTTGTCTTATCCATAGCCCTGACCTTGTCTGCTCGGACGAGGCGGGCTCCACACAACTGAAACTTATTGTCCAGCTCGTCCTTCTTTGCCAAACAGGCTTGGTACTTGGCCTGCAGGGTGGCAATGCCTCCCTCCACTACTGCCAGCTTTTCATTGGCATCATCCAGGATGAGCTGGGTAGCCGCTAAGTCTTCCTGAGCCTCTTGAGAGCTTGCTGTGAAAATATTTAGAAATTTAGTGACAAACTGACTCTCTTATTTGAACACATTTAGGAAAAATGTGTCTTAAACAAGATATTGAACAATGTAGATATTTGTATTTACCCTTTTAGGTTCCACAGCCCTAGCCACAA